AAGGGCCTGTTTCTTGTCAGAGATAGTTATGACATAGCAGGTCACCAGCAGAGGCCAATTATTTGCCTATTCTGTTTTACTAAGCCAACCATCTAGACTGCCTCAGAATGAATACGATGGCAGCAGGTCAGAATCATCTGGAGGGCTTTTAAAATATCTGCCCTCTTATTTATTTTTTGATAAGAAAATAAAATGGTACAGTCACTTTGGAAAACAGTGTGGCAAATTTTCAGAGTATGATCCAGAAGTTATATTCCTAGGTACAGATCCACGAAAACTGAAAACATATATCCACAAAAAAAACTTACCCATGAAAGTTCATAGCAAGATTATTCATAATGGCCAAAACATAAAAACAACTCAAATGTCCATCAACTAATGAATGGATAAATAAAATGTGGTATTAGCCATACAACATAATACTATTCCTCCATAAAAAGGAGTGAAATACTGTTACATGTTGCAACACAGATAAACCTGAAAATATTATGCTAAATTAAAGAAGCCAGAGACAAAAGTAGCATAATGTATGATTCCATTTATGTGGCCAGAACAAGCAAATCTATAAAAATAGAAATTAGTGGTCATACTGGGGCAGGAAAAACAGGGAGTGACTAATGATAGGTACAGGTATTCATTTTGGGGTGATAAAAATTTTCTGGAATTAACAGCAATGGCTGCACAATTTTATGAATATACTATTAAAAGCACTGAATATAACTCTTTAAGAAAGTGAATTTTATGGTTCATGAAGTGTATTTAAATGTAAAATAATAAATTCATGCCTGGGTGTCACCCGAGAGATCCTGATCTAATATGAGGATTCAAGCATTTAAAGACATAATGATAAAACTGGGAAGATAGGCCACAGAATGAAACAATATGTTTATTAAACAAATGACTGACAAGACTCCTATCTGGGGAAGTGCTTTGGCAGAGCAGATTAGGCTGCTACTTGCAATGCCAGCATCTTAAACGGGCGCCAGCTTGAGTCCTTGCTGCTCCACTTTTGATCCAGCTCCCTGCTAATGCACTTGGGAAAGTAGCAGAAGATGGCCTGAGTACTTAGGCCCCTGTATTCACATGGAAGACCAGGATGGAGTTCCGGGCTCCTAGCTTCAGCCTGCCTAGCCCCAGTCATTTAGGACATTTGAGAAGCGAAGCAACAAATGGAAGATCTCTCTCTCTCTATCTCCCTTTCTTCCTGTTACTCTGCCTTTCAAATAAATAAATCTTAAACAAAAGAAAAAGACTCATATCCAGAATACACAAATTGGTAAGGAAAAAACAGACAACCCCCAAATAAGCAAAGGACCCAAACTGGAGTTCCCAAAAGAGAAAATCCAAATGATAAGTTAAAAATAAGACAAGATATGAATTTCATACTCATTCAGGGAAATGCAAATTAAAACCACAATGAAGTATAATAATAAAATATAAATTTTCAAAAATCTTCATTAGAAAGTTCTAGTGAGACAAAGAGCAATGGGATCAGCCATATACTACTAGAAGAAATGTGTATCACTTTGGAAAACAGCTGACATTTAGTAAAGTTGAAGATATGCATGTCCTTCACCACAATAAGAACCCATGTGCTCTGTACTGAAATACATGTATAAGAGAAGGACACTCAGAGTTGCATTGTTCAGAATAGCCCCCAAATGGATAAAATTCCAACAGTCCATTAATAAGAGAATGATAAATTGCAGTATGCGCCAATGCAGCAAATAAAAATGAACAGAATAACAACAATATGCAAAAACATAAATGGAACTCAAAAGCATAATGTTGAACAAAAGAAGCAAGACACAAAAGAATATGTACAGTGTGGCTCTATTCATACAACAGTTATATGGTTTAGGGATGAATAAATAGGTGGTAAAACTAACAAAGAACAAGAAAGTGACTAGCATAAAGTCAGTACAAAAGCAAGTTACACAGCGGGGCGTGTGGGGTGCGGCTGTGTTCTATTTCTTGATCTGGATAGATAGTGCTTGTTCTTTATACTGTACACATTCTAGTTTTATGCATTTTTCTGTATAATGCCATTTTAAAAATGATAAAACAGATTAAATAATTTTTCAGTAAGGGTAAAACTTCCAAATGATCTAATATAAAGACAAGGTTGAGGAATACTACATTAAGGGAGTGTTCATCAGAAATATACTTCTATAGAAGTTATTAAAGGCCCAGAGTGGGGGAGGGATCTAAACATTATGTTAAAAGTGAATACTTCAGGCTGGCGCCGCAGCTCACTTGGCTAATCCTCTGCCTGCAGTGCTGGCACCCCAGGTTCTAGTCCTGGTTGGGGCACCGGATTCTGTCTCGGTTGCTCCTCTTCCAGTCCAGCTCTCTGCTGTGGCCTGGGAGTGCAGTGGAAGATGACCCAAGTCCTTGGGCCCTGCACCCACATGGGAGACCAGGAGGAAGCACCTGGCTCCTGGCTTCGGATTGGCGCAGTGCACTGGCCGCAGCACGCCAGCCATAGCGGCCATCTGTGGGGTGAACCAACGTAAGGAAGACCTCGCTCTCTGTCTCTCTCTCACTGTCTAACTCTGCCTGTCCAAAAAAAAAAAAAAAAAAAGGGAGGGAGGGAGGAGGTCTTCCATCTGTTGGTTCACTCCCCAGTTGGCCGCACTGGCCAGAGCTGCACCAATCCGAAGCCAGGAGCCAGGAACTTCTGGGTCTCCCCCAATGTGGGTGCAGGAGCCCAAGGACTTGGGCCATTTTCTACTGCTTTCCCATGCCATAGCAGAGAGCTGGATTGGAAGTGGAGCAGCTGGGTCTCAAACCGGTGCCCATATGGGATGCTGGTGCTTCAGGCCAGGGAGTTAGCCCGCTGCGCCACAGCGCTGGCCCCTTCTTGTATATTTTTGTAATGTTTAGGTATAACAGTGAAAAAGTACTGCTTTTATTATAATAACCTAATTTAGTAAAAGAAGATTTTAAAATTCTTTTGGAAAGATACACACAAAAAAAGATAATAAAATTAGTTGCCTCGGGGGCTTGGGTGTTTGCCACTGGCATCCCATATCAGAATGCCAGTTGGAGTCCTGGTTGTTCAACTTCTTATCCTGTTCCCTGCAATGTGACTGAAAAAGCAGAAAACTGCTCAAATACTTGAGCCCCTGCTACCCACATGGGTTACCCAGATGGAGTTCTTGTCTTTGGCTTTGGCCTGGTCCAGACCTGGCTGTTAGGGTCATTTAGGGAGTAAATCAAATTTAATAATTTTAAAATTTATTTTTATAAAGATTTAATAAATCTTAAGGAAAACTGGCTGCCTCATGAAAAGGGAATGGAAAGGGTATTTCTCATTTTAAAAAGATCTATTTTGGGGGGCTGGCACTGTGGCATAATGGGTAAAGCCGCTGCCTGCAGTGCCGGCATCCCATATGGACACTGGTTCAAGTCCCAGCTGCTCTGCTTCCAATCCAGCTCTCTGCTATGGCCTGGGAAAGCAGTGGAAGATGGCCCAGGTCCTTGGGCTCCTGCACCCACACGAGAGACCCAGAGGAACCTCGTGGCTTCTGGCTTTAGATAAGCACAGCTCTGGCCAGTTCGGCCAACTGGGGAGTGAACCAGTGGATGGAAGACTTTTCTCTCTCTCTCTGCCTCTCCTCTCTGTGTAACTCTGCCTTTCAAATAAATAAATAAATCTTATATTTTGGGGCAAGCGCTATGGCACAGTAGGTTATTCCTCTGCAGTGCTAGCATCCCATATGGGTGCCGGTTCTAGTCTCGGCTACTCCTTTTCTGATCCAGCTCTCTGCTATGGCCTGGGAAAGCAGAAGAAGATGGCCCAAGGCTGGGCTTCTGCAACCACATGGGAGACCCAGAAGAAGCTCCTGGCTCCAGATCAGCCAGCTCCAGCCGACTGGGGAGTGAACCAGAGGATAGGAGACCTTTCTCTATCTCCTCACCCTCTCCCTGTCTGTAGCTTTACCTCTCAAAATCTTTTAAAAAGAAAATCTATTTTATTTATTTGAAAGGTAGAATTACAGAGAGAGAGGGAGAGGGAGAGAGAGAGATAGATGTTCTATCCACTGGTTCACTCCCCAAAAAGCTGCAACAGCCAGGGCTGGGCCAGGCTAAAGCCAGGAGCCAAGAGCCTGGAGCCTCTTCCTTATCTTCCACATGGGTGCAGGGGCCCAAGCACTTGGGCCATCTTCCACTGATTTCCCAGGTGTATTAGCAGGGAACTGTACTAGAAGTGGAACAGCCAGGACTCAAACTGCTGCCCATATGGGATGCTGGTGTCGCAGGCTGAACCTGATAAGCTACAGAGACAATGCCAGGCCCAGAAAGGGTATTTTCATCATACTTTTTAAATTTTGAACCTAAGTGAAAATAAATGCTTATTTGACATTTTATTTTAAATCTTTTTCTCCAGCAGCTTTTCACAGAGTCCACTGCCACAGAAAAGCACATTAGCAGCCTTTTTTTTTTTTTTTTGACAGGCAGAGTAGACAGTGAGAGAGAGACAGAGAGAAAGGTCTTCCTTTGCCGTTGGTTCACCCTCCAATGGCCGCCGCGGCCGGCGCACCGTGCTGATCCAGTGGCAGGAGCCAGGTACTTTTCCTGGTCTCCCAAGGGGTGCAGGACCCAAGCACCTGGGCCATCCTCCACTGCACTCCCTGGCCACAGCAGAGAGCTGGCCTGGAAGAGGAGCAACCGGGACAGAATTCGGCACCCCGAGCGGGACTAGAACCTGGTGTGCCGGCGCCGCAAGGCGGAGGATTAGCCTAGTGAGCCGCAGTGTCGGCCACATTAGCAGCCTTTATAACTGCTCTGGATTCTCCCATTCCCTACTTCCCTCTACCCTGTAGTGAAACAAGGTATCCTCTCAGAAGAGGACCAATATTTTACAAATGCAAGGCGGTGTGCTTGTCATTGCCCTTTTCCTAAATGTGAGTCCATTATACTTGCTTGGAGGCAAAACGAATGCTTTCTTTGTCCTTAGACTGCTACAGTGGGTTATTATAAAAAGAATTACTTACCTCTAAGAGGAGCTCCACACTATCCACCTGAAGCTCTCGCAGTCCCACTATCTGTACCACATGCTTGCTATCTTCTCTTGCGAAGAGCCTGCAGATGCAAAAGCACGGTTGGTATGGTTCTGCTGCTGTAAAAGACATTTGTTCTCTCCTCCTCAGTCACCATTCTACCACTCCCCCATTTAGTAGCTCTTTTGCCTTTTGGGTAGGAAGGATATGCATCCTCCCCTAATCTCACCTCTTGACCTCAGCTGCAGGCTTCAGGGAATAGTCTGATTGCTGAAACAAATCAACATCTTTGGCTACTTTTAAAATATGAACACATAGGGGCCGGGATAGTGGCGTAGTGGGTAAAGCCGCCATCTGCAGTGTTGGCATCCCATATGGGAGCCAGTTTGAGTCCCAGCTGCTCCACTTCTGATCCAGCTCTTCGCTATGGCCTGGGAAAGCAGTGGAAGATGGTCCAAGTCCTTAGGTCCCTGCACCCATGTGTGAGACCCGGAAGAAGCTCCTGGCTCCTGATAGGTACAACTCCAGCCATTGCAGCCAACTGGGGAGTGAACCGGCAGGTGGAAGACCACTCTGTCTCTGCCTCTCCTTCTCTCTCTGTGTAACTGACTTTCAAGTAAATAAATAAATCTTAAAAAAAAAAATGAACACATAACCAAAACCTATGCCAATCAGTGCATGGCATGTTCCTGGCTATAGTGATTGGTTCAGGCTTGGATATGGGATCTATGCTGGACCAACTAAAACAAATTCCTGGTCTATGGTTGTTAAGTGCTTGGTGGTGAGATGCCCTCCCTTCTCTCTCAGAAAGTGAAAATGCAGTCCTGAGAGCAGTGGCAGCCATTTTGTATCTACAAAGAGAGCTAATTTGAGAATGCAGTTAACACCAAAGAAGGTAGAGCAGAGAGATGCAAACAAACTGGGTCCTTACAATATCACTGAGCTATTGTGGCTGGTGCTGTGGTACAGCAGATTAAGCTGCCACCTGCAACACTGGTATCCCATATGTGCTTGGGTTTGAGTCCTGTCTGCTCCACTTTCAATCCACAGCATGGAAGATCTTTGTGTCATCCATCCCTCCCTCCCTCCAACTCTGGCTTTCAAATAAATAAATAAATATTGGGGGGATAAAGGAATGAAAAACATCCTTGAACTGTTGGAAAAAATCAACCCTAAAGATGAACTGTCCTTTGGTCTTTCCAGTTATTTGAGCCAATGATTTCCCTAAATGGTAAGACAGTAATAACAGAGTCTTCTTTTATTTGCAGCATAAGGAGTCTTGATACATCTTCTAATATAACAAGGAAGAGATGGAACTCCGTCTGGGTGCCTCAGGCCTGCATGTGTGGTAATGAACAGTTATGGTCTACTATCATCATTAAGCTAGATCAACTTGGAGGCATGTGTTGAATCTATCACACTACCTAAAAGTACTTCTCCCCTAATAAGATACTGATTAAGGTTAGGAATGGAACTCCACTTCATTGCCAAACACAAATTATTTCCTAAATTTTTCCCCCTCAGGCTATGTGTCACCACAACTTTCCTAATTTTTACAGACAGAAGGGAGGAAAACAGCTTTTCTAGTCTACAATCTTTCAGAAAACAATTATATTGAAACAGGCTTCTGGAATAAAAGAAGAATCTAGCTTTCAGAGTCCTCAGGTCACTCCTAAATATACTTCCCAGGCCCTATGCTCTGAGATCACCCCTAGAAAGGCACCCAATGGGCAGCCCAAAAGATACTGCTAGATTTTAAAATCCTGTAAGCAAGAATTGTATTTCTATCACTTTTCATATAAAGGTATAAAGGGGTCTAGCACTGTGGCGTAGTGGGTAAAGCCACTGCCTGAAGTGCTGGCATCCCATATGGGTGCCAGTTCAAGTCTTGTGGCTGCTCCACTTCTGATATGGCTCTCTGCTATGGCCTTGAAAAGCAGCAGCAGATGGCCTGAGTCCTTGGGCTCCTGTACCCGCACGGGAGAACCAGAAGAAGCTCCTGGCTCCAGATCAGCCCAGCTCCAGCTGTTGTGGCCATTTAGGGAATGAACCAGTGGATGGAAGACCTCTCTTTCTCTCTCTGCCTCTCTGTAACGCTGCCTCTCAATAATAAAATAAACCTTAAAAAAAAAAAAAAACAGGGATATAAAAACACTTTATTTTCTATATTTAGGAATTATTTTTAAGATATTTAAGATTGTTTTCCAGTTTAAGAGGCAGATTGAGCCCATATACTTCTGTCTACCCTTATCAAAATCCAGTTATCACTACAGAAAATATATCTTATTAAGAAAACAATAGGATAAAGCATAACCACATAAATAAAAAAATATCCTATCAGTGGATGAGAACATTACAGAAGTCTCAAGAATAGAAAACAAAGAGATCATATTTTCTAATTCACCAGAAATATTTTAAAAACTCCACAGCTCAAGACCCTTGCAGAGTTAAGTGTGAACTTTCCACAGTGAATTTCAGAGAAACTTCAAATCCAAGAGTTAGTATATTCCCATCTCCCTGATGACAATTAAGAATGCCAAGGGTAATAATCTAGGTAATTTCTTAAAACATTGTGCTATGGTTTAGATATTTTTAAAGATTTATTTATTTATTTGAAAGGCAGAGTTACAGAGAAGAGAGACAGAGACAGAGACAGAGACAGAGAGAGAGAGAGTCTTCCATCCTCTGGTTCACTCCCCAATTGGCTGCAATGGCCGGAGCTGTGCCAATCCAAAGCCAGGAGCCAGGAGCCTCCTCCAGAACTCCCATACGGGTACAGGGGCCCAAGCACTTGGGTCATCTTCTACTGCTTTCCCAAGCCATAGCAGAGAGCTGGATCGGAAGTGGAGCAGCTGGGTCTCGAACCAGCACCCATATGGGATACTGGCACTGCAGGTGGTGGCTTTACCCACTACACCACAGTGCCTACCCCGGATATGTTTTGATTGTATCCCTGAGAGCTTAGTCCTCAGCGTGGCAGTGTTTTGGTGGTAGAACCTTTCAGGTGGAGTTGAGTGGAAGGTAATTAGGTCATGGGGCCCTCTTTCATGAATAGATTAATGCTGGTCTCATAGGGTGGGCTGTGTCTTATAAGAACGAATTAGTTCCTCTAAGAGCATGTTGTTATAAAAAAAAGTAAGCTTAGCCCCTCCCTGCTCCTGTTCCCCATCTTGCCATGTGCTCCCACCATTGTGATACCATCAGCCACGAGACCCTCACCAGAGCGAAGTAGATACTGGTACCATACTTTTGAGCCCTGTGAGCCAAATAAATTTCTTTTCTTTATAAAGTACCTTGTCTCAGGTATTTTGTTACAGCAACATAAAACAGACTATGAAAAACTGCATTCAGAAATAGCTAGATGGGGCTGGAACTGTGGCGCAGGGGGTTAAGCTGCTGCCTGTGACACCGTTATTCCATATCGGAATGCCAGTTCAAGTCTCAGATGCTTAGCTTCCAACCCAGCTCCCTGGTATTGCATGTGAGAAGACAGCAGAAAATGGCCCAAGTACTTGGTCCCCTGCTACCAATGTGGGAGACTTAGATGAAATTCCCAGTTTTGGCCTGGCCTCTGGCCTGGGAAGTGAACCAGCAGATGGAAGATCTCTCTTTGTCTTTCAAATAAATAAACAAATCTTTAAAATGTGTGAAAAGACAGCTAGACATCCTAACTGCCCCTTCACACAAACAACTCTCCTCCACCCCACCCCAGGAGAGCACAACAGTGGACTTTATTCTCATGCCAAGTGTTCTTTAATGGAACTGGGTATTCTGACTGGAAAGGGCTCCTAATAAGGGTGTTGGTGCTTAGAAGAGAAGCCATGATTGAATTAACTTGAGGCTTCAAAATCGACAGAGTAAAAAAGGTAACAATTCCCAGAGCACCCCCAAAACAGCATCCTTTTATTTGGCTGCTGTTGTTTAGGACCAAATCCTGAACACCTGTACTTTCTCTCAGTTGTGACATACTCAAAAGCCCCCTTTTTTGTTGGAACAGTGCACAGAACAATGGTATACCTAAAGCTACCCACTGGCTTCTCCAGTTAATATCCTAGTGCCCATACACATCTGGGCCTGCCCTACATGGTGTTCCTATTGAACTGAAGCTGTTCACCCTTCCCCCATTCCACTGCTTGTCTGGAGCACATGGAACTTATACATGCTTTTGGTCTGCTCCTCAGAGGTTTGGACATCTTTGACAGGGAGGAGGGCAGGCAGCAGCAACTGGGGATGGGGGACGGGGCATTAGTCTCAAGTTGATTAGGTTTTCCCAGCCTTCAACCATGCCTAGCCTCAACTCACTCCTCCTCACATTCTCCAATCTGGTTCATTCTGTTATGACAACCCCTTATCTTTTTATTCCCCTATTCTCTCTGGCCTCCCTTTTCTCCCAGTCAGTTGATCCCTTCATAATTCTGTTGCCTCCTACTCAGTTTAAGTCATCTGTTCCAACCTAAATAAAACTTCATGTCAGAAAAATATAGTAGGGATTTAAAAGCAGTGTTACTAAATATATTTCTAAAATTCTTTATTATGTTGTAAGGGCAAGAGTTTAAGCCTAATAAGAGTTAAAAGTCTAATGTGAACACAAAAGATCTTAACTGACTTTAGAAAACTATAATTAAGTTTACCCTTGGATTATTGGAAAGAAAAACAAGGGTAAGTAGGAAATCTTATTTATAGTTTTCTCAGTGTAGTAACATGTCAAAAGAATAGGAAGGGAGTGCTGGCATTGTGGCATAGCCAGTAAAGCTGCCATCTGCAGTGCCAGCACCTCATATGGGTGACAGTTTGAGTCTCAGCTGCTCCAGTTCCAGTCCAGTTCCCTGCTAACGCACCTGGGAAAGCAGCAGCAGATGGCCCACGTGAGAAACCTGAACAAAGTTCCTGGCTCCTGGCCTTGGACCAGCCCTGCTTTGCCCATTGTGGCCATTTGGGGAGTGAACCAGTATTATCATTAAAAGAATGAGGATATAGATCATTTAAAAACATTAGGAGACCAGTTTACAATTTTCTAGCTGAATTTAAAAATTAAAAAAAATTTTTTTCAGGGGCAAGCATTTGGCACAGCATTTTCGATCTTGCATTCTATGTTGAGTACCAGGGTTCAGGTCCTGCTTCTGCTTCCAATCCAGTTTCCTGATGATGTGCTCCCTGGAAGACAGCAGGTGATGGTTCAAGTACCTGGGTCCCTACCAGCTACATGAGAAACCTGGATTGAGTTCTAAGCTCTTGTCACTGGCCTGTTTCACCCTGGCTACAGGCATTGTGGGGAATGGAACAGGTGAAAGAATTCTGTCTCTCTTTACCTTTCAAATAAAATGGAAAACTTTAAAAACTTAATTAGCGGGGCCAGCACTGTGGCACAGTGGGTTAAAGCCCCAGTAGGTGGTGCTGGCATCCCATATGGGCACCAGGTCATGTCCTGGCTGCTCTACTTCTGATCCAGCTTTTTGTTAATTCGCCTGGGAAAGCAGCTTAGGATGGCCCAAGTGTTTGGGCTCATGCACTCACGTGGGAAACCTGGAAAAAGCTCCTGGTCTAGCTCTGGCCATTGCAGCCATCTGGGGAGTGAACCAGCAGATGGAAGACCTCTCTCTCTCTCTGTCTCTACTTCTCTCTTTCAAATAAATAAAAATAAATCTTTAAAAAAAAACTTAATTAGCTGAATTAAAAAATATCTAATGCAGGAGACTTTCATTCACAAAAAGAAACCAATGTACCAAAGTCTCTTATTAGACTCTGACTTTAAACAACAATGAACAGATTTACAGCTTCCTACTCAAATCCAGTACCTTTTTCTCCTATTTAGGAGATCATAAAGTTGTCCACAGTAGATTTCATAGAAACTGATCCACACAAAGAGGTGCCTTCTTGGCTGAGACACTTCTAGTTGCCTGAAGATATCTTTGGCAGCCAGAGCATAAAGTCCTGGATTCTGATGAGTTCCTATCATGGTGTAGGTCTTTCCAGCACCTGTCTGTCCATATGCAAAGCAAGTGGCGTTGCCTCTGGGGAAAGAATAATTTATACCATTTATGCATAATAAGGAGGTAGTAATCTATAAACAAATTTTTAATAAAGAAAGTCAGATAGAAACACAGAATCTTTGACAAAACGCAACTATAAACATATGATCCTTTAAGGAGAAGGAGGTCTTTAATTATAAAAAAGATAGGAAAAGGAAAAAACATTCTCAAAGCAGTGTGTGAGTTTTCCATGAAGAATTTTTTTGCAGAACTGATGAGACTACATAAGACAACCCTGGAAGATAAAGAAGCAAGAACTGTGTTTTTTTTTTTTTTTTAATTTTTATTTTTATTTCTTTGAAAGTTTAAGTGACGGAGAAGGAGAGACAGATAGAGATCTTGTATCTGCTAATTCATTCCTCAAATGCCTACAAAAGCTAGGGCTGTGTCAGGCCAAAGTCAACAGCCCATAATTCCATCTGGGTCTCCAATGTGGGTGTCACATGGGAGTCATCATCTGCTGCCTCCAAGCACACACATTAGTAGGAACCTGGATCAACAGCAGAGAGGGGACTCATCCCAGGCATTCCGATATGGGATGTAGATGTCCTAAGTGAAGTCTTTACTGTACCAAATGCATGCCCTGTAAACAAGGATTTTTTAAAGATTTTTTATTTATTTATTTGACAGGTAGAGTTACAGACAGTGAGAGGGAGAGACAGAGACAAAGGCCTTCCTTCCGTTGGTTCATTCCCACTCCCCAAACGGCCACAATGGCCAGAGCTGTGCCAATCTAAAGCCAGGAGCTTCCTTTGGGTCCCCGACATGGGTGCAGGGGCCCAAGGACCTGGGCCATCTTCCACTGCTCTCCCAGGCCATAGCAGAGAGCTGGATTAGAAGAGGAACATCTGAATCTAGAACTGGTGCTGGCACTGCAGGCAGAGGATCAACCTACTGCACCATGGAGCCAGCTCCAGGTTTTTTTTTTAAAGCAAGGATTTTTAAGAAACAGCTTGGCCAACAAGGATTTACTGAATTCCTAAACCACGTTAAGTCCTTTAAGGGATCCTAAAAAATATTTTGTCTTACTCTGGAAAGGTAAGTTTGGTGAAAGAAGTAATAGAGAATTAAAATAAATAATAGAAGATCATTCAATAAACAGGATGGTAGCGACTATTCATACAAAAATTAATCCAGTTTTGACAAAGGTAAAATCACTAATATATTCAACAAAGACTTCAAAAGACTAGGGAACTAGGTTGGTCTTTGAAGGCAAAAGTAGAAAGTAGACAGCCTCCATTGTGAGGTAGGAATAGTTTGAGAAGAGGCCACAGCCACAGAGGTGGTGGCAGGCACACCAGATCTTGAGGGAAAAAAAATCTGGATTCTGGTCTCTGTCCTGCTATTAATTATTTGATTTTAGGCCAGTCACACTACTTTTCTCTGGGTCTCACTTTTCACTCTGATCAGCAAATTAATGGATTACTTGGTTTCTAAGATCCATTCTAGCCCTGATCTCCTGTGATTCTCAAAATCTATTCTTGCATTTGGTTACACAGCTGTGGATCTATCCCATGTGTGTATGAAAAATTGCAGAATGAGAGCTGGAGAAGATATTTGCGAGAACAACCTACCAATCACAGAATGGTTTAGGAGAAGTTGAGTCCCAACTATGCAGTGCTAAGTAGAAAATGAATGTTAGGTTTAAGTAGCTACTGCAGACTCTTGATCATGAGTCACATGAGTTAGCGATAAAAGTAGTTGCTTGCACCAAGAAGAAAAGTCTATGCATGGACAGTGGTAGAAAGAGGCTGTATGTGGACAGAGAAATGAACAGAAAGGTACTTGAAGTCAGAAAATAGAGTAAAATGACAACAGCAAAGGAACCATGGAAGTGTGAGAATGAAGAAATGAGAGCTAATCAGATTTAAGCTGCTTGAAGACCTGACTCTCTGTATTTTGAACCCTGGTTCCCAGCAGTATGGGTACTTTAAATGCAGTGGCAGAGGCATAGTTAAAAAAACATTTAGAGGAAAATTTGAACAAACTAAAGGAGATCCAGTAGAGTGAGAGTAAAGAAAAAGAGTAAAGAATAATATCGATCTTACCTTTACAAATTAACTATTTTTTAAAAAGTAATAAATACAAGCATGAAAATCTTACAGAATGGATATACTTAACTTGCAATTCTGATTTGTTATTACCAAAGTCTTAATATTAAAATTTGAACTTGTTTTAGAAACTTGTTCTCTCAAAAAGCATCCCCTAGATTTGGTGCATAAGAAATTAAACCTAGGGATCAGTGTTGTGGCATAATACAGGTTAAGCTTCCACTTGCGATGCTGGCATCCCATATGGGCTTCAGTTCTAGTCCTGGATGCTCCATTTCCAATCTAGCTCCCTGCTAATCCACCTGGGAAAGTAGAGGAAGAAGGCACAAGTCCTTGGGCCCCCTGCACCTATGTGGGAGACCCAGAAGCAGCTCCTGGCTCCTGGCTTTGGAACGGCCCAGCCCTGGGCACTGCAGCCATTTGGCAAGTGAACCAGCAGATGGAAGATCTCTGTCTTTCCTCCTTTCTCTGTAACTCTGCCTTTCAAATAAAAAAAAATAAATCTTTACAAAAAAAAAAAAAAAAAAGAAATTAAACCTGAAAGATATTTTGCTTTATTAGTTTCCTCATAAAAAGTGTTTTAAAATTTATGTAACTTGGGGAAAGCATTTGATACAGTGGTTGAGAGTCTGCCTGAGACTCCTGCACTCCCTATCAGAGTCCTCGGTGTTAAGTCCTCACTCCTTCACTTCCCATCCAGTTTCCTGACAATGCATACCCCGGAAGGCAACAGGTGATGACTTAAGAGTCCCTGCCACCCACCCATGTGGGAAACCCACATTGAATTCTGGACTCCTGGCTCCAGCTCTGGAGCATTTAGGGAGTGAACTAGCAGGTCAAAGATCTCTGCCTTTCAAACAAAATGAAAATAAAATAAAAATTTTCAAGGTTATATAACTTTCACAAAACAATAAAAAGACAACAAAAATGGAGCAAATGAAGCTATCTGAATGGCTAATGTGCATATGAAAAGATGCTTAGTAACATCAGGCATTATGGAAATTCAAATTAATACAATGGTGCTATACAATCAGATTAAAACAAAAAAGGCTGAAAATATCAGATGTGAGTGAGGTTGCAGAACTGAAACTCTCATATATTTCTGTTAGGAATATAAAATGGTACAACCCTTTGGGAAATTATTTGAAACTTTCTTATAAATATACACCTAACCTATGACCTGACAATTCCTCTTTTGGCTTTTAAATAATGTAAATGAAAATATATCCACAGGGCTGGTTTTGTGGTGCAGCAGGTTAACTGCCGCCTGTGATGCTGGCAGTCCCAGCTCTCCACTTTTGAACCAACTCTCTGCTAATGGCCTGTGAAAGTAGCAGAAGATGGTCCAAATGCTTGGGACCCTGCACCCATGTGGGAGATCTAGGAGGACTTCTAGGCCCCTGATTTCAGCTAGCCCAGCCCCAGCCATTGTGGCCATTTGGGAAGTGAACCGGCAGATGGAAGATCTCTGTCTCTCCCTCTCTCTGTAACTCTTTCAAATAAATAAATAAATAAATCTTAAAAAGAAGAAAATACATGGCATAAAGAGTAGCATAAGAATGTTAATACAGAGCCGGCGCCGTGGCTCAATAGGCTAATCCTCCACCTTGCGGCGCCGGCACACCGGGTTCTAGTCCCGGTCGGGGCGCCGGATTCTGTCCCGGTTGCCCCTCTTCCAGGCCAGCTCTCTACTATGGCCAGGGAGTGCAGTGGAGGATGGCCCAGGTGCTTGGGCCCTGCACCCCATGGGAGACCAGGAAAAGCACCTGGATCCTGGTTCCTGCCATCGGATCAGTGCGGTGCGCCGGCTGCAGCGGCGGCCATTGGAGGGTGAACCAACGGCAAAGGAAGACCTTTCTCTCTCTCTCTCTCTCACTGTCCACTCTGCCTGTCAAGTGAAGAAAACACAAAAAGAAAGATGTTAATACAGGCCAGCGCCACGGCTCACTAGGCTAATCCTCCGCCTAGCGGCGCCGGCACACCGGGTTCTAGTCCCGGTCAGGGCACCGGATTCTGTCCCGGTTGCCCCTCTTCCAGGCCAGCTCTCTGCTGTGGCCAGGGAGTGCAGTGGAGGATGGCCCAGGTGCTTTGGCCCTGCACCCCATGGGAGACCAGGAAAAGCACCTGGCTCCTGGCTCCTGCCATCGGATCAGCGCGGTGCGCCGGCTGCAGCGCGCCGGCCGCGGCGGCCATTGGAGGGTGAACCAACGGCAAAGGAAGACCTTTCTCTCTGTCTCTCTCTCTCACTGTCCACTCTGCCTGTCAAAAAATAAAAAAAGAATGTTAATACAGCTTTATTTATAACAGTGAAAATAGTCCAAATGTCTGTCAATGGTTAAATGAATAAACAAACTGTGTTTTATTCACTGAAGGGAATCTTATTCAGCCATAAAAATTATGGATATGTGTAACAACATGCACTAACATAAAAATATGCTAAGTAAAAGAAATTAGTCATAAAAGAACATGCACAGTAATGATTATTACAGTCTGTGACATTCTCAAACAGGCATGACTGATCTATAGTGATAGCAGGCAGGTCAGTAGTTATATAAACCTGGAGGTGAAGGTGAGGGTTAACTAAAAAGGGACACTAGAGAGCTTTCTAAGATAATGGAAATGTTCTGTACCTTGTTCAGGTACTAATTACCTGCATACATACAAATACTAAAACTCAAGAAACCTAAATATGTATGTTTATTTTATTGTATATAAAAATTACACCAGTTTTTTAAAAAGTTAAAAAAAAAAAGTCAAAATTCAGGGTTGGTTGTTGTGCGTTGGGTTAAGCCCCTACCTGTGACATCTGCATATCAGAGCACCGGTTCAAGTTCCGGCTCTTTCACTTCTGATCCAGCTCCCTGATAATGCACGTGGGAAAGCAGCAGCAGCAGATGACCTACCACCCACATGGATACCTGGATGGAGTTCCTGGTTCCAGCCTGGCCCAGCTTTGGCTGTTGAGGCCATTTGGGGAGAACTACTGTATGGAAGTTCTCTCTGTGTCTCTCCCTCACTCTTTCAAATAAATAGAATAAACCTTTAAAGAAAAAAATCAAGGGGCTGGTATTATGGTGCACTGGGTTCAGCTACTACAATGTCAGCATCCCACATGAGTGCCAGTTCAAGTCCCAGCTGCTCCACTTGCGATCCAGCGTCCTGCTAATGCACCTGGGAAAACAACAGAGGATGGCTCAAATCTTGGGGCCCCTGTACCTACATGGGTGACCCAGATGGAGTTCCTGGATCCTGGCTTCTGGCTTCAACCTGGCCCAGCACTGGCCATTGTAACCATTTGGTGAGTGAACCAGTAGATGAAAGATTTCTCTGTCACTCTGCCTTTCAATTAAATAAAACAAAACAAAATAAAACTTTTTTCTAAGGATTAAAAAAAAAGTAAAAATTCTATGGAATCAATGACTTTAATAGGCTGACATTTTCTATTCGAATATGTGTACATTTTTTTTTTATTTTTATTTTTTTGACAGGCAGAGTGGACAGTGAGAGAGAGAGAGACAGAGAGAAAGGTCTTCCTTTGCCGTTGGTTCACCCTCCAATGGCCGCCGCGGCCGGCGCGCTGCAGCCGGCGCACCGCGCTGATCCGATGGCAGGAGCCAGGAGCCAGGTGCTTTTCCTGGTCTCCCAAGGGGTGCAGGACCCAAGCACCTGGGCCATCCTCCACTGCACTCCCTGGCCACAGCAGAGAGCTGGCCTGGAAGAGGAGCAACCGGGACAGGATCCGGCGCCCCGACCGGGACTAGAACCTGGTGTGCCGGCGCCGCTAGGCGGAGGATTAGCCTAGTGAGCCGTGGCGCCAGTCCTCGAATATGTGTACATTTTAAATTTACAATAGAGGCCCCAATTTACTTTTCTGTCCCATTTAATGTCAAGTGTAAAGAATAATTTTAAATAAAAAGATTTCTTTGGAAATGTGATAAGTAATATTCATTTATGTATCCTATTGCAATGAAAAAATTACTGAGTTACAGCCAGAATACAAAATTCTCAGGAATAATATCATTAGTGTAGAAGAAAATTTTGCTGCAAATTTCTGAATACTTAGTAAATCTTCTAAGTAGAGACACTGCAGTTTTCCAGAAATCTAATTTAAATTAGATCAAAACATAAATTCTTATTTACTTCAAAACTGTAAAGCAAAAGTGATATTTATAAAGGGATATTATTTATGAAATGTAGAAAATCAAGAGAGAAGCACACAATTATTATCGTACCCATTGAAAATATGCTGAATGAGTGGGTGAGTAGTCTTCATGTATACATCCCGATTGGTACACGCCTCACCAAAGACTTCATCAAAATAAAAAACATGCTGAAAAACAAGTTTGAATTGTACAGAAAGAGACATGTTATGGATTTTCTTCACCACTATTCTAGTTAACATACAATAAAAGCTTAAATATATTTTTAATAGTAACTATCCATTAAAAAATTCAAGATAAATAAGTATTTGATAACTGCTAAGTGACAGGATTTTCTTTTGAATTGTCTATGGACATGTCTTAGAATGTAACATTTGTTAATTCCTAAGGGAAGTAAATTGATGAGTACTAGATTGAGCTGGTCCCCTTTAGGTCCAGGAGACGAACTAAATTCTACGGGGCTTATCCTTGTAGCCCAGCTCATGCCAGCATATTTGGAATTTTAGGGGAAGATTTCCATTCTATGTAAGTTACATAGCTTAAGTTTTAATTCTATGAACCTTTATTGCTCAACTGTTAGAACACTTATGTCAATAAGCATTGAGAGCCCAAGATACAGATATTACTCTACCATTATCCTAACCCACCTCTTGAAGATGTTAATCTACATAAGCATACAAATGACTAAAGGCAAAAAAGATAAAGCAGTAAAGTATGTGTGGAATTTAAAGGGAAAACATATTCCTTCAGATTGGCAAAGACACTGAGAAAAAGACCATACAGAGAAAGGCCAGGAAGAAGAAGAGGAACAGGCATGGAGACAGAGAGAGGGAAGTCATTCCAGCATAGGGGAACCACCAACAAACAAAGTACAAGAAGTTGACTGGTTAACATTTAGGGAAAGCAAGAATTCAATGTGGATGTTGGAAAGTGGAAAAATGAGGTAGAAGGTTAGAATAATGAGTTAGGAGTATGTCACAGAGATTTTGGCCACCAGCCTTAAGGGAGAGGGTAGAATGCTCATTATTTAAGTAAACAGCAGGGAAACGGTCAAAGGCTTTATAAGGGGAAGGATAATCTGAACCATTTTACTTCAAGACTAATCTAACTTCACACTGAAAGAATTGGAAAAAAGGACTCAAGCAATATACTAGTGAGGTAAGAGAAGTCTAAATTGCATGAATACAATGGAAATAAAAAGGAGGTAGACACATGAGGAATTTAGCAACTGTTTGAATGTGGGGAACTAGAGAGAGAAAGGGGTTGAAGATGACTTCCAAATGGAAAATCATGGAAAAAAGGAGATAGGAGACTCAATTAGATTGGTCTGGAAAGCATTAATTCAGCAGCCATCATTATTTGAATAATTTAGAGGCTTATTATGTTGGCAGCCCAACTATATCTGATTAAGAAATCCTAATAATTTCAAGCTTCACTGTGGCATGATGACAGCCCAAACACAATGAATGAGAGGTAAGATTATCTTCTGCCACCTTTCTTGATTTTGGAGAGTGAATCAGTGGATGGCAACTCTGTGTCTCTCCATCTTCTTCTCTGTATATCTGCTTTTCAAATAAATGAAAATGAATAAATGAAAAGAAAGAAAGAATTCTTAACTGAATTGTATGGACAGATTCAGAAAACTGGAGCTGGGCAAATTTATTGCAGGTCACTGTACCCTAAGTTCAGTTCTGCCTTGTGTACCATTACATTACAGTAGAATGTAAATTTCATATGTCATCTGAGAAGGAACTGGAACCGCAAAGCCAAATTTATCAGTTAGAAACAGTCAAACTTAGCCAAATGAAAAAATAATAATCTATGCACAATGATACTGATCTGTGAACTTTAAGTGCTTTGAAAAATGTAAGATTTTAAGAACATTTATTAACTAAAATGTTAATAATTGTTGAAACTGGGTGATGGTAAATGAGAGTTCATTATACTTTTGATTAAGGTTAAAAAAGGTCAATAAGAAAGAGTTAAATATCTTTGTTAAGTCTGGCTTTAATAAACATGATTTATGTAGAACCACATCTGGTTTCTAAGCAAGAAAGTAAATTTATTGCTCAAATATCACCATAGGTTTTTAGTTAAACATGAGATCAAAAGCAAAAAAGTTGTCTACAGATTTCTGTAGGCATACATATATTTAACATTTCTCAAGAAAATAAAAAACAGAAGTAAATGTCAGAATGAATTTTGGTTTTATTCCTTATTATTACTTCAAGGAGTATATACTTTGGAGCAGGTGCTGTGGTGTAGTGGGTAAAGCCAGCATCTCATATGGGCACCGGTTTGAGTCCTGGCTACACCACTTCCAATCCAGCTCTCTGCTATGGCCTGGGAAAGCAGTAGAAGATGGCCCAAGTCCTTGGGCCTCAGCACCAACATGGGAGACATGGAGGAAGCTCTTGGCTCCTGGCTTCAGATTAGTCCAGCTCTGGCCGTTGCGGCCATTTGGGGCGCGACAACAGATGGAAGACCCCTCTCTCTGCCTCTCTGTAACTCTTTCAAATAAATAAATAAATAAATCTTTTTAACAACAACCAAAAGGAAGTATATGGCACTTCTCTCTCTCCTATAAATGCTCATAAATAATTTAAGCATTTACTGATTAAAGGAATTAGTATCTTTCCTTCCAACAGGATTTAGATATTGGTTTTTCTAGTGCTTCTGTAAACATCTTCCCTGAGAGATGTGTAAACATGAAAAGACTGATGTAGTTAATACATATATATAATTTATAATGTCCTCTGCATCATATACACTTTCATTTGGTTACATGAAATGAAGCTAGAGTAACACCTACTTTGAACTTCATTTTAATCTTGATATGGTCAAACTCTGACAGCTTATTTTTAAATTAAGTTTTGTTTCAGATGATAAAAATACTATATATGTATTTCTAGAATATATCTGGAAAATACACTTGGAATAGATATGCTTTCAAGGAATAAATAGGATTAGAAGTACATTTTTTACCATATATCCTTTTGTATCTTTTGATTTTACTTTTTGTGTATAAATTTTTTAGTACTTTTTAATTTTAAAATAAGTGAATTTATCCTATTCAAAAGTCTTTAGCTTTTTTTATTTGAAAGGTATATATATAGAGAGAGAATGAGAATGTGTGTGTGTGTGTGTGTGTGTGAGAGAGAGAGGGGATCTTCTGTCTGCTGGTTCATTCTTCAAATGGCCACAATGGCTGACACTGGGCCAGGATCTCTATTTGAGTTTCCCATGTGGGTGGCAGGGGCCCAAGTACTTGGGCCATCGTCCGCTGCCTTTCTAGGCACACTAGTAGGGAGCTGCATCAGAAGCAGAGCAGATGGAACTCAAACCAGAGCTCTGATGTGGGATGCTGGCATTGCAAGAAGTGGCTTAACCCACCATGCCATGTCAGCATCCAAGTTTTTACTTTTAAGAACTCAGTTGATTGTAGAAAATATTAAAAATACAGAAGGCTAAAATAGAGAAGAGAACCAAATTACCTATAAACCTTTTCTTTTTTTAAAGATTAATTTGTTTATTGGAAGGCAGAGTTATAGGGGGAGAGAGAGAGTGTGAGCCAAGAACAAGCTTCCATCTACTGGTTTACTCCCCAAATGACTGCAATGGCCAGGCCAAAGCCAGGAGCTAGGAACTCCATCTGAGTCCCCTATATGGGTAGCAGGAGCCCAAATACTTAGGCTATTTTCTGTTGCTTTCGCAGGCACATTAGCAGGGAGCTGGATTGGAAGTACAGCAGCCAGGACTTGAATTGGTGGTCATATGGGATTCCAGCATTGCAGGTGGTGGCTTAACCTGCTGCACAATGCCAGCCCCACCTGTAAACCTTTCTACCCAGAGATAATCACTGTTAATTTTTCAGTATATCTCAACACAGTCTTTTTTCTTTACATATATTTTTTTAAACTTGAAATGAAATAGTTGTTCTCTTATTTTTTACTTATGCTAATATTATAAAATTTAAGGATTAAATAGGATAGCATATTACATGCTACTAAGTAAAAAGATCTGAAAAGATAGGGTATTTAATTAGACACACAAACCTATTGTTTTAATTCTTGAATAAGTTTAAAAATAAAACCCAAAGAATCTAGAATCAATATTTGTTTAGCACCACATTTACTACCAACCTTTCTTTTATTCTTTCTCTTTGAGAAAGGAAAATGGGAAAATTAGTCTTCCCACTTTTTTTATTATAGCATTGACAGGTAAGGACTTTGACCTATGAGAGCAAAGGTCCAAAGTTCAAACTGCAGAGAAAATGCCATGGAAACTATGGGTAGTCAATAAATATTGATCAATGTTAATGACAAAGTAGTAAGGATATTGTGTTTGGAGATAATGGAAAAATACAAAAGATAAGATGGTGTCTCCTTGAGGGAATTACTGTGACAGAAGCATCATTAAGAAGTCTTAGATAGCCAGTGATTGGATATAGCTAATCCTATGGCTATAAGTAGCCATGGAACTAGATAGCATTACAACTAATTGGTCATTTAGACCATCTTCAAAATAAATACCTCCCACTGAGACCTAATAGAGTATGCATTGATCAGCAATCAATAAAGCTGTTAAAGTGACTGGGTTGGTTTTACAGTGGTCTAGTAATTTAATACCCATAGAAAGATTCAGTGGATTACCTGGAATGTCACTGTGAAACAGAATTTTGGTAACCAAAGAAAAAAAGAACAATGTGAGTTTGAAAGAGGGGGAAAGTGTTTAAAAACTTGACTTCAGTCTTAAAAGATTTATTCCAGTAGAGTAAGATTTCAGCTGACTAAGGTGAATTGCTAGGCTACCATATTACTCACCATTTTTTTCCCATCAGTCATTGCATTTGCAGGCAAGAGAATGAGGTGGTGAATCGGGGAGAGAATATAGTTTCAATGTTGAGGGAGGCAGATTCTGAGTTAAGAGAAACTCCTGAATCTTAACATCAGGTGGGTTACCTATCCTCTTAGATTATTCACAATTTTGGAGTACCTAAATTATGAACTGTGGAATTTTCTGCTTCCTTATGAGGCTGAAGAGTTATTGCAAGTATACTTACCAGCTTGGATAAGTTTTAAGTTCCTTGCACTGGATTCTTCATGATCACTCTAGCAGTTAATGAACATTATGTGTTTGAGCTGTTTTATTTAAACTCTTATGTTAAGATATGGAATCATATTCTTTAATTATATTTACCTGTTGTAATCTACCTTGTACATAATTACCTTATCAGAGCCCAATTTCTACCAGTTAAGTCTAAGGCAAGACAGCTGGGAATTAAAATAAGCAATTGGCTGGCAATCTGGAGCTCGTTGCACAAAAATATACTATCCATCATTAAACTCAAGATGTGTACTCAGCACAGTAAGAAATTTATATTGTGAGATGCAGGCAAGAATGGAGATCATTCTGTAGTCATTCTGGGGCATATGCTCAGTGACTGGTCCTGTGACAACCACTTCATTATTTAAATTCTTTCTATGCGCTCATTTCTCCTTTTGCTGAATATGTATAATAAATTAACATAAAGTATGTTAAGTAAATTATGACACAGCTTCATTGCACAAAAGCAGAGGATTTATATTCCTGTATCTCCTGCTGCACCATATCTTTAAAGAATGAAGACCCAAGATACCAATGATTTAATGCAATGTCACACCATGAATGAATGTCACTCAAACCAGAAACCAAATTTTAGAATTTGTATGCTATTATTCAAACAAAAGGCAAAAAATTGACATACTTGCTCCAAACACAAAAACAAAATATCTTACCTGCAGAATATACTGTGTGAGGTCAACTGCTTCTTTCTTCTCATGCACAAGTAGAGTTTCTTTGTCTTCTACAGTAATAATATTAATTTCTCCACGACGTACTTCCCTTATGCCCAGAGGGCGTTTGCGAACACAAACTCTGATTTTCTCCATCTCAGTCCAAGGATTCTCTTTCTCTGAGGCGTTGTGTCTGGTATGTTTATAAACAAGCTTTACTTTTTATTAACAGGATAAGGCTACTTAAGAGGACAAAGTATCAGTACATTTTATTGTAATACTGCATATAATATTGTTTAGTATTTACTTATTTTCATTTACTTGAAAGGTAAAGTGACAGAGAGAGACAGAAAGACTGAAAGATATTCCATCTGCTGATTCATTCCTGAAATGCCTGCAACAGCCACGGCTATGACAGGTTGAAGCCAAGAATCCAGAACTCCATCTGGATCTTCCCCATGGGTAGCTGGGGCATAAATACTTGACCCATCATTCACTGCCTATGAGGATGCATTAGCAAGAAGCTAAATCAGAGGCAGAGTACTGGATTGGGCATCCTAATTGGTGGCTTAAACTACTGCACAATACTCAACCCTGGACATGGATATATTTTTATAAGTTACATATGGGGTAAGCAGTTGGTTCAGCAGTTAAGATGCTGCTTGGGATGCCCACATCCCTGACTGGAGTGCCTGGTTCCAGTCTGGGCTCTACCACCCATCCAAGCTTCCTACTAATGGTCATCTGGGCAGGTGGCAAGAAAAGGCTCAGGTACTTGGGTCCCTACCACCCATACAAAAGACCTGGATTGTGTTCAGGGCTCCTGGCTTCAGCCTGGCCCAGCCCTGGTTGTTGCAAGCATTTGTGGAACAAATCAATGGATGAAAGACCTCTCTCTGCCTTTCAAATAGAGTAAAAAAAATAAATAAAAGGTATATTTAAAGTGTCACCACTGAAAAAATTATTTAAAATTCTTTAACAATATACTCATTCAGTTAATTATTTGAGAGGCAGAATGAAGGGGAGAGTTGGGGGTGGGGAGTGAGATCCCATTTGTTGGTTCACTTCCCAAATGTCTGCAATTGCTGGGGCTGAGCAAGCGTGAAGCTGAGAGCTGGGAACACAATTCAGGTCTTCCCACATGGGCAGTAGGGACTCAAGTTTTGAGTTATCACCTGCTACCTTCACAGATGCTCATTAGTAGAAAGCTGGAATCAGGAGTTGCATAGATTCAAACCGAGACTTGAACCCCAGGGACTCCAATATGGGATGTGGGAACCTTAATCACCAGGCCAAATTTCTGCTCTAGAAAGTTCTTTTATTAGCTAAATCCTCCTGATCACTCCTATCTCCATCCCTAACCCATTGGTTGCTCCACAAAACAAAACACCCAAGAAATAAACAAAAATTCCCTCAAGAATTGTTTTGGCTTCCAGATACAGTTTGCTAATGGTGAATGAAGTTTATATTCACAAAATTCAGGCTGGTTAATTCCCAAAATATAATGCAATATGCTGCTATCATCTGAGATTTTTTACAAAACCCAAACCCATGCCTCTTCACCTTTCAAGCAATTATTTTTTTACATTTACTCATTTACTATTTCCTTGACCATTAGTCTAATTTCTTTTTTATCCTGAGTTTACTAAATTCCTTGAAGTATGTGGTAGGTGTCAATGTATTTTTTCTTTTTTTCTTTTCTTTCTTTCTTTTTTTTTTTTTGACAGGCAGAGTGGACAGTGAGAGAGACAGAGAGAAAGGTCTTCCTTTTGCCGTTGGTTCACCCTCCAATGGCTGGCGTGCTGCGGCCGGCACACCGCGCTGATCCGATGGCAGGAGCCAGGTACTTATCCTGGTCTTCCATGGGGTGCAGGGCCCAAGTACTTGGGCCATCCTCCACTGCACTCCCTGGCCACAGCAAAGAGCTGGCCTGGAAGAGGGGCAACCGGGACAGAATCCGGTGCCCCGACCGGGACTAGAACCCAGTATGCCGGTGCCGCAGGGCGGAGGATTAGCCTAGTAAGCCTCGGCTCCGGCCTGTACCTCTTTCAAATGGAAGGAAGGGAGGCAGGGAGGCAGGGAGGCAGGGAGGCAGGGAGGCAGGGAGGGAGGGAGGGAGGGAAGCCTCTAAAACTAGGTAACTTGAAAACAAATGTTTTACCAGGATCAATGTCTTTGGTCCATGTTAAGAATGCTTTGGCAAAACAAACTGCTCCCTCTTTTACATTATAGAATTTGACTGAAAGCCCTTAAAAAGCCTTTTATAATAGATTTGGCACAAGCTATTATTCTCTATAATTGTTTTATATCAATTCTGATTTTCTGAGCCCTCCAAGTGATTGGAATATTATTTTTTGCCAGGAAATAAGTCAGTAAAAAAATAGCAAATAAAATTTCTAATACAAAATATTACTTTTAGGGGCCAGCGCTGTGGCTCACTTGGTTAATCCTCCGCCTGCGGGGCCAGAATCCCATATGGGCGCCAGTTCTAGTCCTGGTTGCTCCTTTTCCAGTCCAGCTCTCTGCTGTGGCCCGGGAAGGCAGTGGAGGATGGCCCAAGTGCTTGGGCCCTGCACCCACATGTGAGACCAGGAGGAAGCACCTGGCTCCTGGCTTTGGATTGGCACAGCGCGCCGGCTGTAGCGGCCATTTGTGGGGTGAACCAACGGAAAAGGAAGACCTTTCTCTCTGTCTCTAACTCTGCCTGTCAAAAAAAAAAAAATTTATTTATTTGAAAGGCAGAAATGATGAGAGAGGGAAAGACAGAGATCTTCCATCCATGGTTCATTTCCCCAAATGACTGCTACAGTCAGGTTCAGGCCAGGCCAAAACTAGGAGCCAAGAACTCCATACTGGTCTCCCACTTGGGTGACAGAGACCCAAATATTTGTACCATATTCTGCTGCCTTCCCAAACACATTATCAGGAAGCTGGACTGGAAGCAGAGCACCTGGGACTCGAACCAGCATTTCAGTGTGGGATGCCAGTGTAGCAAGCAGCAGCCTAACCCACTTTGCATCATTTAAAAAAGGGTTCTTGTGATAAAATCTCTAGTTGTTGAGCACTAATAACCTAATCACATGAAGTCGATTCAAGAGCACAAAAAATATTTAGGTTCTCCATCACAACCCTTTTTAAATGAGAGGTAGAGAAACAGAGCACAGCGACAGATCTGTTGGTTCACTCCACAAATGCTCACAAGAAGGCCTACGCCAGCAGCCAGGAACAAAATCCAAGTCTCCCACATGGGTAGCAGGGACCCAGCTTCTTGAGTCATCACCTGCTGCCTCCCAGGATTGGCATTAGAAGGAAACTGGTATAGGGAGCCAAAGCTGGTATAGGGAGCCAAAACTGGTATAGGGAACAAAAATACTCCCAAACGGGACACAGGTCTCCTGGCTGGCATTTTAACCACTAGACCAAACACTTGCCCCTAAGTCTTCTGAAAATGTACAGGGACCTCAGGATGAGTCAATTTAATGACAAAAAGGTCTGCAGCTATAAGTTCAAAGGGCAAGAAGGAATGCATGTTCTTTTCTTAAAAGGAGCCAGCTTTAATGCTTAATCTTATTTATAAGTATATTATATCTGTCTGACAAGCAGAGTTAAGACAGCTGGAGTTAAGTCTATTCAAGCTCTTAAATAAGTCAGGACAACCATTTCTATAAATGTGTTATACTTTATTAAAATTCTGAGGCCAATTTATTTTGAACTTTTAGAATATCTAAAAAGTAAAAACCTGCTTTAAGATAGCCAAAGAGAATTGCTTTGGATAGGATGATTCCTTAATAGCAAGCCTTAAGCTGGTAAGGGGATTTTGCATGGTTCCAAAATCCTGACTTCTACTTGGGGTCTGGGTGAGAAGGCATTATTGAAGATTACTAGGGAAAATGTCCTTTCTTATCTTCATCTAATTTTTAAACTGGAAAGAGTAAGAGAATATACAATGTAAGAAAGCACAATTGGACATCCTTCACTCTAGCTTTGTCACATCTCAATGTCTGTAAGAAGTGCTGGCACTGTGGCATAGTAGGTTAAGCCTCTGCCTGTGGTGCTGGCATCCCATATGGGTGCCTGTTCGAGTCCTGGCTGCTCTACTTCCAATCTTGCATCACTGCTGATGGCCTGGAAGAGCAGTGGAGGATGGCCCAAGTGCTTGGGCCCCTTCTCCTGTGTGGGAGACCAAAAGAAGCTCCTGACTTCTGGTTTTGGCTAGGCCCAGCTCTGACCATTGTGGCCATTTGGGAGTGAACCAGCATATGGAGGACCTGTCTCTCCCTCTCTCTGTAATTCTGCCTCTCAAATAAATCAATCTGGAAAAAAAAAAAAAAAAAAGTCTGTAACAGCACTTATCTTACCATAAGGTTGTTCATGTCTGTCATCCTCCTCACCTGATCCATCAAGAATATAAGAGCTTCCAGATATTCTAATTATCTTTCTATCTAGAATTGAGCCTAGCAGAGATGGTATTTAATTTTTGTCAAATAAACAAAATGACAATATTTAAACTGAAATATCCATTCTATACTTGATGGTGGTTAACATAAAGAGATATTTTTATTTATAAATAATTTCAATTTAGATTTTGTATTGTTCAATAAAAGACTGTAGTAGTCGAGAAAATATCTGCTCTTTCACCATGAGCTAATCAATAAGACAGCAACAATCATTTTCAGTCGTGAGACAGTCTAATTCTCTCAGAATTAAAAGAAAACAGTACTAAATAGTCTGTGTTCCACTAGACCAAACAAAAAGTTTCCAGAAACATGTCAAAAAAGTTTCCAGAAACATGTCAAATTACTAAAGGTATTTTTACCTTTAAGATTGAGTCTTCTATTTTTTTGGAGTAAAAGGATTGGTTATAAAATCCTATGGAACCTTAGCAATGCTGCACCAAATGTAAATATTTTACCTTATTATAAATAATATTTTAAAAAGAAAATGCAGCTTAAGAATAAATTTTATTTCCCCAAAACTCACATACCTAACTTTTAAAATAAAACCAGCAGGGCCAGCACCATGGCTCACTTGGTTAATCCTCCGCCTGTGGTGCCGGAATCCCATATGGGCACTAGGTTCTAGTCCCGGCTACTCCTCATCCTGTCAGGCTCTCTGCTGTGGCCTGGGAGGGCAGTGGAGGATGGCCCAAGTGCTTGGGCTCCTACACCTGCATGGGAGACCAGGAAGAAGCACCTGGCTCTTGGCTTCGGATCGGCATAGCACCAGCCATGGCGGCCATTTGGGGAGTGAACCAGCGGAAGGAAGACCTTTCTCTCTGTCTGTCTCTCTCACTGTCTATCTCTACTTGTCAAAAAAAAACCAAAAACCAAAAAAAAAAAAAAAAACCAAAAACAAAAACAAAAACACCCAGCAATACAGTTTTTTTAAAAGAGCATATTTCCTATTACACCATTGTTACTAGCACAGCTTACTTGATATTTCACTTCTTAGGGACCTTATTTCAAATTCTAACTTGGAGCACTAGGTAAAAATTATACGTCACCCTGATTCTCAAACTCTAGTCTTCATCAAAAGTTTCTTACTCTTTGTAATTTCAAAAATCATGTTTCTCAGGGGTGGAATTATAGAAAGCACCTCAAGTCAGGATCATATCACAACGTACACAGGTAAGTTGCTCCAAAGACCTACTTAGTTCAACTACACCTCTTTGTTTTTTAAACTTGAAGTCTTCTGGTTGGTTTAAGTGGATCTGAGAGCCTTAAAAAGATCCTGGAGATTGTGTATCTTTTTTCCATTGTTGAAGATCACTTAAATATTTTACTTTCATGGATGCACTAGATGTATCAGGTTACACTACAATAAATAATAGAAATAGATCTGCTATAGGAGTAAAAGATCTGGCAAATAGCAGCTGTCTGAAGTACATGAACAGTATCATCTTTCTCCCATCTGGAAAGTTTCAATACCTCACTAATTTTTTCCCATCCAGGCATTTCTATTATTGATGCAAAAGCTGTTCATTATAATTTTTATGCTACATTATATTTTACAGTAATATAAATAAGGAGTTGCTCTCCTCTGGTCTTGAAGGACAGGTCTAACCTTGCCTGAGGCTACCTTCTCTACTCTCCCCCACCCCACAAAAAAAAGATAAAATTATTACCTGATACAGGAATGAGGAATTCCATAATTATATCCTGAATCTTGAGAGATCCTTTGAATAATGGGAATATCACAATTTCCCAGTACTGGAGAAAAGTGGTTTGATGAAAAGAATGAAGTGTTAATTTCTGTTTGCACATAGGAATCAGCAGCTGTGGCATTCAAAATTCTTGTTTTTGTACAGTACTGGGAATCATCTGGTAGCATGTGTTCCAGAACTTTTAAGTGAGTAGGCTTCTGTTCAGTTGTAGAGAAATTTGATAAATGGCACATTTCAAACCCAACATTGCTGGCAGTTCTACTTTTGTTGTTAGTAGGAGAATCAAAATTCAGTTGTCTTCGAGGGCCAGATCCGAGTTTGCAAGGCTTGGTACATAGACTGTTTGTCTGAAGAGAATGCTTTGGGCTACTGACTGCTTTATCTTCTTCCTGCATAATCTTAATGATTTTGATAAGTTGGAAGAGACGTTTGCGGTCATTCATGTCATGGACTCCCAATTTGGAGTAGTCTTTCATTGTAATCTTGGCTAATTCATCTATTTTCTGAAGGCCAAGGGCAGTAAAATGAGGATAATACTGTGAAAGTTCAGCTTCACAAAGACATTCATATAACCAGGATGCCATTCTTGTGAACAGGTTTCTGTAAACTCTGGAGAGAGAAAAAAGAATAATTTATTTGAAATGGAGTATAAATAATTATTTTTAGAACAATGAAAACCATAAAACATGCAGAAAAACATTTAATATCAAGTTTTCAATAAACATATTTTTCCTCTGAAATGACTGACTAAGCACCATAGCACATAAGAACTTTATACATATAAAGATTTTTGTAGTAAAATGTACTTGGTTCATCTGCTTAACAAAAAGAGACTTTCAATTATATACACAGGTACACAGAAATACGCATAACACTTACTTTTTTCTAGGGAGTTCTTCCAACCTTGCAAAGTCTATTTAAACACATGCCACAAACTACTGAAACCTTGTTCTCAAATACTGATTGTACCAGGACTAATTTTAGATATTCAACTTAATGTCAAGGCATGTCGCACAACTGTTTCCCATGATTAATGAACAAAGGCTAAGAACTCTTTCAGAATAGAAAGCAGAATTAAATAGCAGACCACAAAGGATTATAAGCTAATATAACTCAGAGGAAACTGCATTTGTATCTGCTGAGTACTGGCAAAAGTTAGTTAAGCAGAAATAAAACCATCAATTCAGTATCAATTCAGAATTTCAGATCACTTTAAAAGGTGGTCATCAATGTCTATGTGTACAGAATATGAATCACATAATTTATCTAGGGATTTAATAGCATCAATATTTAAAAATGAGTATATATTAAAATGCTTAAATTTTAGCCGGCGCCGTGGCTCACTAGGCTAATCCTCCACCTTGCGGCGCCGGCACACCGGGTTCTAGTCCCGGTCGGGGCGCCGGTTCTGTCCCGGTGCCCCTCTTCCAGGCCAGCTCTCTGCTGTGGCCAGGGAGTGCAGTGGAGGATGGCCCAAGTGCTTGGGCCCTGCACCCCATGGGAGACCAGGAGAAGCACCTGGCTCCTGCCATCGGATCAGCGCGATGCGCCGGCCGCAGGGCGCCGGCCGCGGCGGCCACTGGAGGGTGAACCAACGGCAAAGGAAGACCTTTCTCTCTGTCTCTCTCTCTCTCACTGTCCACTCTGCCTGTCAAAAATAAATAAAAAAATAAATAAATAAAAATGCTTAAATTTTAATTTTTAATAAATTATATGGTAGTAACATAATCTTGATCTAGTGATTAAAATCAGGACTCTGAATTCTCCATAACACTATTAATCAAATTTATGAGAATCTTTCAGCAAATGACTTTTTTTTTTAAACATTTATTTATTTATTTGAGAGGTGGAGTTACAGACAGTGGGAGAGCAAGAGAGAGAGAGAGGTCGTCTGTCCACTGGTTCACTCCCCAAATGGCCACAACAGCTGGAGCTGGGCCAATCCAAAGTCAGGAGCTTCTTCCAGGTTTCCCACATGGGTGCAGGGGCCCAACTGCTTAGGCCATCTTCCACTGCTTTCTCAGGCCATTAGCAGAGAGCTGGATCAGAAGCAGAGCAGCTGGGACTCAAAGTGGCACCCATATGGGATGCTGGCACTGCAGGCAGAGGCTTAACCTACTACGCCACAGCCCCAGCCCCGTGACATTCTCTTTTTAAAAATTATTGTATAGGGGCCGGCACCGCGGCTCAATAGGCTAATCCTCCACCTAGCGGTGCCAGCACATCAGGTTCTAGTCCTGGTCGGGGCGCCGGATTCTGTCCCGGTTGCCCCTCTTCCAGGCCAGCTCTCTGCTGTGGCCCAGGAAGGCAGTGGAGGATGGCCCAAGTGCTTGGGCCCTGCACCCCATGGGAGACCAGGAGAAGCACCTGGCTCCTGCCTTTTGATCAGCGCGGTGTGCTGGCTGCAGTACGCCAGCCATGGCGGCCATTGGAGGGTGAACCAACGGCAACAGGAAGACCTTTCTCTCTGTCTCTCTCTCTCTCACTATCCACTCTGCCTGTCAAAAAAAAAAAAAAAAAAAATTATTGTATAGGGGCCGGCGCTGTGACGCAGCGGGTCAAAGCCCTGGCCTGAGGCGCCGGCATCCCATATGGGCATAGGTTCTAGTCCCAGCTGCTCCTCTTCTGATCCAGCTCTCTGCTATGGCCTGGGATAGCAGTAGAAGATGGCCCAAATCCTTGGGCCCCTGCACCCACATGGGAGACCCAGAAGGAGCTCCTGGCTCCTGATCAGTGCAGCTCTGGCCGTTGTGGCCATCTGGGGAGTGAACCAGCAGGTGGAAGACCTCTCTCTGTGTCTCTACCTCTCTCCGTAACTCTGACTTTCAAATAAATAAATCTCCAAAAAATTTTTTTGTATAATTCAGTTTTCAAAATTCAATTAGATAACTATTGGTAAAACTTTTCTGTTTTCTTTTTTAAAGATCTACCTATTTTGAAAGTTACAGAGACAGAGATCTTCCATCTGCTGGTTCACTTCCCAGACGGCTGCAATGGCCAGCACTGGGCCAGGACAAAACCAGGAGCTTCATCTGAGTCCGGGTGGCAGGGGCCCAAAATTCTTGGGCCATCTTCTGCTGCTTTCCCCACGCCATTATTAGCAGGGAGCTGGACAGGAATTGGAGCCGCCAAGTCAGGAACCAGTGCCCATAGGGGATGTGAGCATTGCAGGTGGTGACTTTACTTGCTATACCACAACAGGCCCCCGTTTTCATTTTAATTTATATTTTGTCTAGTCTCTAGGAGAACGAGTTGAGGGCAGAGTCAGAATCAAAGAACCATGAATAACTGTTGGAGGAAACGGTTACAGAAAAGGCCAAAGGGAATGGGTAACATGTTCAAAATTTATCCTGACCTTTTCTATTTGTGACAGATTAAAAAAAAAAGGCCATAAATTCTTTGCAGTCCTTTTATCAAGAGGTGAAGTCTATTTCTCCTCCCAATGTGTCTAGGCTAGCCTGTGATTTGTTCTGGCCAACAGAATATAGCAGAAATGACACTGTGTGACTTCCGTGCCTTAAGAACCCTTGCAGTTTTTACTGCTTTCTTAGAATTCTTCTGTCATGTGAAGAAGTTCAGCCAACAGTCATCACAAAAGCCAGACATGTAAGAGAAACCATTTTAAGCAATCCAGTCTCAGTGGCACTACTAGATGACTGCAGTCACATGAGTGATTCCAGGAGAAAACAGAAAAACTACCTAATATATGACTCAAAGAACTTTGAGCAATGAAATGGTAATTTTTAGAAATTTATTTATTTGAAAGGCAGAGTGAGTGAGTGAGAAAGATTTTTCATCCACTGATTCATTTTCCAAATAGCCATAGTAGCTAGGGCTGGGCAGGGCAGGGCCATAGCTGGCGTCTGAAACTGCATCCAAGTCTCCCATGTGGGAGATAGGATCAGAAGCACTTTGGCCATCTTCTGCTTTCCCAGGCACATTAGCAGGGAGATGATTGAAAGTGGAGCAGCTGGGACTTGAATAGGCACTCCAATACAGAATGCCAGTGTTTTAAGTGACAGCTTAACCCGTTGCACCACAATGTTGGTCCCAGGTAATTGAAGCCACTAAATTTAGGGTATTTTGCTACATAGCAAAAGATAACTGATAATACTGTGCCTTAAAAATAATTTGTATTAAGTTTATAAAATTGCTTTTCCTTTTATTTGAGGTGGGGGAGAGGGAAAAAAAGGAGAGGAGGAAGGGGGAGAGAGATCTTCCATCTGCATGCTCATTTCTCAAATGTTTACAACAGGTTTGACTGGGGCAGGACAAAGTAAGGAGTCTGGAACTCCATCTGTGTCTCCCACATAGGTGGCAGGGACTCAAATACTTCAGCCATCATCGGCTGCCTCCCAGAATACACATTAGCAGGAAACTGGACCACAGATGGGATTCAAATCAGGCACTCTGATATAGGATGAGAGCATCCCAAGTGGTGACCTAAGTCGTTACACCAAATATCAGCCCCTAATCTTTACTTTTAGAGCAGTTTTAGGGGTTCCCAGTAGAAGGCACAGATTATTAATGAACTTACATTGAAACATGATTGTCATCCAAAGTCTATAGTCTATTTTAGGGTTCACTCTTAGTGTTGTACACTCTACGGATTTCAACATATAATGATACATATCTACTATTTGAGTGTCACACAGAGCAATTTCACTGCCCTTAAAATCCTGTTGTCTATTCATTCCTCTTTACTCTAGTCCTTGGAATCCACTGATCTTTTTACTGCCTCCATAGTTTTTTTTTTTTTTTTTTTTTTTTTTGACAGGCAGAGTGGATAGTGAGAGAGAGAGACAGAGAGAAAGGTCTTCCTTTGCCGTTGGTTTACCCTCTAATGGCCGCCGCGGCTGGCGCGCTGAGGCCAGCGCACCGCGCTGATCCAATGGCAGGAGCCAGGTACTTATTCTGGTCTCCCATGCGGGTGCAGGGCCCAAGTACTTGGGCCATCCTCCACTGCCTTCCCGGGCCACAGCAGAGAGCTAGCCTGGAAGAGGGGCAACCGGGACAGAATCCAGCACCCCGACCGGGACTAGAACCCGGTGTGCCGGTGCCGCAAGGCAGAGGATTAGCCTAGTGAGCCGCGGCGCCGGCCTGCCTCCATAGTTTTGCTTTTTCCAGAATGTTATACAGTTGGAACAACAGTATGTACCTTTCAGATTGCCTTTTTTTACCTACCAGCATCCTGTAACTAGCCAAGAGAGGGCAGGTGCCCTTTTGGACATATTTAACAGCTGTGCCAGCTCATATTTGCAAGCCCAGCAACCAGCTAAGTGGAGATGCCTGAGTGTGGCTGGGAGAATTTATAGGGGGCTGGGTACCTGTGACTGTGGAAGCCTTCTGTGCTGGGACTGTGAAAACACTGTGGCTGTGTGTGAGGTCGCAGGGTGTGACTGGGTCTTTGGATAGTCACTGTGGGCAGCTCCACACGCTCAGGGCTCCCCGATTCTCTGGTGAGTTTCACTGCCGCAGGATCCATGCTCACACTGAGGATGGAACAGATCCTTTGTGTGGTTCTTGTGGCAGTGTGAACGAATATTATACCCACTAGGGTTAGTGACCAGGCATTGGTCTCCTTGGAGGAGAGGAGGTAAGCGAGAGGCTATACCAAGAGATTAATCCTCCCCTCTGATTAAAGAAAAATTTACCACACCCGATTTGGGTGTCACCTCAGGTACTCCCCTCACCCTGGAGCACTGACCAGAGCTCCCTGGACACACCCAGCAACTGCCTCAGGGTATTCACTGAAAGAGCAGACACTCCACTAATCCACAGAGGCACAGTCCAAAGATAAAAGCTATCATAGGGCAGAAAACAAAAAACAAAAAACCAACAAGTATCTCCACAATTGCCCCAAAATAAATGCAGCAACTGAACAAACAAGAATAAAAGGAAGACAAGATGATGCCTCCAAAGAAATACAACATTTCAATACCTGAATGTGAAAATGAAGAGACTGAAGAAATGTCAGAAATGGAATTCAAAAAATTAATCATAGGATTATTTAGAAGTAATCAGAAGCAAATCCACGAATTAAATACATCCATACATGACATAAATGAACATTTTCCCCATGAAGTTGAGATTTTAAAGAGAAATTAAAATATTAGAAATGAATAATTCAATAGATCAAATAAAAAATGCGGTAGAAAGCCTTAACAACAGACTCAGTGAGGCA